TGGGATGGTCGCTAGTTGTCTTGACAATTTTCCAATTTGTCTCTCCAAATTTTTTATGGAGACATCATGGTTCATCCTCATGGTCTCATGATTCTTATTCACATGTTCCAAGCTAAGTTGAGTGGCCTTCATGAAATTTTCCAAGGTCTCTTCTTCGTAATTAGGAGCTCACTGATTTGTTGCACCGCTTGGTTACCACTTTGATTTAGATTATTCATTTGACCCTTCCGATGAGTACCTTCCGTTCTCATGTCCTCTGCCACAAAAATCAAACCTAAGTTCTTGTACTTGGCTCATGTTAGTGTTATTCAAGTAGCTTACAACTAACTACTTATTCAATAATTCAATTTGAGCTAATAAAGAAGTTTGAGTATTAATAGTTAATATACCTTTGGGTATACCTACCGTCTCAATCTTTGCCGATCTTTCACTTTTGGTGCGGTACTCACTCATGCACATCTTTTTTATTATATCCTTGACTTATGGCTCGACCATTTATCTAATTGTGCCTCCCTCTGAAATATCTAGCAACATGTGTGTCTGACTCTTTAGACCCTCGATGAAACTTTTCATTTTCTCCAAATTATTAAGATTATGGTTCGGGCATCTATGTAGCAATAGTTTGAATCTCTCCCATGAGTCATATAAGGTCTCCACATCTTGTTGCTCAAAATTCAAAATTTCATCCCTTCTTTCAGTAAATTGGGTGGTGGTAAAAAATCATTCCAAGAACTAGTCTTCTAGCTCCTTCCATGTTTGAATGGTTCCATTTAGAAGGAATAACAACCAATCTTTTTCTCTTCTAATAAGCAGAAAATTAAACAACCTCAACTTCACTTGATCGTCCATGACATTATCCAGCTTGAACATCAAAATGGTTTTCTAGAATCGTGCAAGATGAGCCCATGGATCTCTGATAGCGTTCTTGTCAAATTGATTGTCTCTTAGATCTGAAAGCACATGATTTTTAATATCAAAGTTAACAGGGTATGCCGATACAAACCCTCTAGAAACTTGACTGTCGTCGGTCTTCTTGCAGTAATCTCCCATAGTTGGGAGTTGTGAAGCAGCCATGTTACTCTCGTCTTTCGAGTCTACTTTTGTAGCTGCTTTTCTGAGGGCACGTGCAATTCTTTCAATTTCTAAATCGAATGATAGTAATGTCGATCCTGAACTGCGCATACACAAACAGAAAATACCTCAATAGCACTATGATAATCTAGAAAACAAACAAAATCAATAAAAAAATAAAAATAAAAAAAGTAAGAAAAATAAGTTGCACAAAGCGTTGCCATGTTACAATCAAAAGTCTTTGGCAACGGTGCCAAAAACTTGATGACTTCTCAGCAAGTGTACCGATAATGTCGCAATAATAAAAAGATCAAACCCACAAGGATTGTGTTTGAACTGAACAATAATTTGTGCAATATTAAATAAATACAGTAAAAAAAAGGGGGGTTTGCAAGTTTCAGTGCAAAAAGAGATTAAACGAGAAAACTATGTTACGAAGGCGGTTAGGTTGTATTTTAGAATCTCTTTATCCCCTCTTGTTGATGTATGATGTCTTGTATGAATTATCTTATCCTTATAATATTACGGCAAACTAACAAAACCGTTATAGCCAGCTCCCCATTAAATAACTCACTAACAACTACTAAAAGTTTTCTATCCCTAGTCCGCAAATGTAAATAGTGATAGGCGATATATAGACCGTTAGTTCACTATGCCACTACTTGAGTTATCATATCCCTATTGTGGACCGATTTCCGTGACCCCATCAATCCTGAGATGGTAAGATCCCTGTGAACCGTGCTTGCTGCCACTTTCGAATTTCTAATATTTATCCTATAATGCTTAAAAGGAAGGGGAAGAAATCTAAACTAACTTTGCACGCAAGTGTTATCCCTACAAATGAAAAGAAATCTAGAATCGAGGGTTGATTATACTAAAGAAAACTTTAATGAATTAAATGTTGAAACCAAAAAACATTAATCCAATAATCCCTAACCTCGTACACCGTGTCAAAAATCAATTTTAAATTTAAGAGAAAGTAAGGAAACGTTGAAATGTAAGTTTGTTGACAAGCATAAAAGCAGACAGGATTATTTTCGAGCACATTGTTAAAAATTCTTGAGTAAATATAAAAAATGTATTTGTCATATATTACCTAGAAATAAGTCTTATAAACTTTGCGATAACTCTAACATGACTAAGTCGTATATTATATACTTTTAGAACAAGAATGTCATTGAATTACAACAAGCATTTATAATTCTTATCTCTGAAGAAGATCTTTATTTTCATAACTAATTTATATCATTTTCAAAATTATATTATTTTATAATATTTATATAACATTTGACCTTTATATAATTAATAATTCTTAAATAAAATCAAACTTAAAACCTTAATAAATATTTAACTATTTGTAGTAAAAAAATAAATCAAGTTTATCATATTCCAAACGTCAGCATTCTCTCACTTTAACTAATGATTATAATCTCATTTTACATTTTATGTAACAAATATTATCTGTCATTTTACTTCTTGATTTTTTGTTTTAAATAAAATTTTGAATATTCCTACCATTAAAGTAATGGATGAATATACTATATTCAATATAACGGAAAAAAAAATTAAAGTTGTATTTAATTTTTATGTGTTCATTTTCAATATATTTAAGGAAGACTTTGATAAAATCAAAGTAATTGAAATGCTTCGGAGTTATTATTATTATTTTGAAATGCTTAAACATTTAAACTAAATCACAATAAATGAAAATTTTGTTCTAGATTGAACAAATATACGAGCAAATACATTTATAATTAGGAATAAGGGGATCTCCACCGGCTTGTACACAAGTTCCATGACCCTCATAAGTTTGATAGCACCATCTTCCACAGGCTTCGAGAAGACATTCTCCTTCACGTGTTACGACACATTCTTTCGCCTTTGTAATTGTTATAACTGTGAAACAAAAAAAATTATTTTAAAAAATTAATCGTTAAAATAAAAAGAAAAGTTGAAAAACTATATCTTTTAATAATATTGTTGAAAACTTGTGAATATTAATATCTAAAACTTAATATGAAAAAATGAGTTTCTTTCAAATTATTTAACTAAAATTGCATATCGTAATATAGGATTGGACATGTTCACTCAATTTAATAAACACTACCAACATTCATAAGAATGCTACAACATTTATTATAAAAATCAGTTGCCTTTTTTTCAGTAATAAAAAAAAATTAATAATATACCTGAAATAATGAAGAAAAGAGTGATGATTAGCGTGAAAGAAATTTTAGCCATTTCAAATTGCTTGAAAAACAAAAATCAGAAGATGAATATATTTTGGTTAAACTATTCCATGGGTTTATATAGAGAAAAATTATTAAAATAATTATAAATAAAAATAGAAAATAAGTATATTAGGTATATAATATTATCTAGAGGTTGACTAAAAATTTGATTATTTTTTAACAAATTTTTTTATTATTTTTTAAGAAATAATCTGTATAATTCAAACTTGCAATATATTAAAAAAAACCTTCTGTAAATGTCATATTTGAAAGAAATTTTTTGTACAAAAATTAATATTTTTAAAATATGTTAATCTGCTATACTTACCAAATACAATTAAAATACTCATGTATTAATTTTGATAGTAAAGGTAATTTTGAATTTTTATTAATAAAATAAAAGGTTAAATGACCATGTTGATTTTTTTTTAATAAATGTATGATTACGGTCATTTTATTTGTCATATCTTGACATCAACTATTAAATTATTTTAAGAAATTAAAAGAATTTGAAGGGTAAAGGAGAAATTGAGAATTTGTCATTAAAAGGGTATTTTAGTGATATAAGAAAGATATTATTTCAATAATTCAATTTAATAAATGAAAATTTAGTATAATTAACCTTATTAACTATAATTAGACTATTATAAGGTCACATGGAAAAATTAAGGTTAATTGTTTAATGAACAATAAAATATACTCTTTTGTAACATTTTATATAATCTCATTGTTGAAAGAAAAATATATTTTCCTCTTTCATGGAGGATAGCTCGCAAAATTGGGAGACGGGGAAGCAAAAATTAAGTCACACAAGTTCTATGACTCTTATAAGTTTGAAAGTATTACTACTATAAAATATGTCATTAATTTTACTACGGCTATGCATTACACCGTCGTAATATTGCAAAATATATGCATCTAATATATTTTTTATTTTTTAAAAGTTATTTAATCACAGTCGATATAAACAATCGTGGTGATAAAGTAATTGTTACAAGTTTCAAATACTAACAACTATATTTTTTTTCATTTTTCCTATTACAAAAAGCGCGTGTCACTTATGTTCAGAAATAAATAAAAAATTGAACATTAATAACCAAGATTTTAGCCTACAACCGTTGTAATAATATTTTCATTTTGATGTTGTTGTAAATATCAATCGTGATTAAAGTTTTTTCTGATAAATTTAAAAAAAAAAATTATTATTTTCTTCATAACATGCCCTAAGCGAACTAGCAAACCAGTGAACCAACAAACTAGAGACGACAGCGATAGTGATAGCAAAATCTTCATCTTCACAGTCTTTGTTCATTTGAATCTTCATTCTTGATAATCTTCATTATCTTCATTCTTGGTCTCTTCAAAGTATGATATGTTTCGTGCAAACTTCACCCTCTTCCTCATCTTTCTAATTCTTGATAATCTTCATCATCTTCATTCTTGTTTGAATTTGTGGTCTGTTTCTTACAAAGCTTATATGCTTTATCCATATGCTTAAGATTTAGAGTTGTATTATTGTACTGAATATGCGTTATGTTTTGTTGTTGGATTTGTGGTATGTTTCTTGCAAAGTTCATATGCTTAAGACTTAGAGTTGTATTATTATACTGAATATGCTTTAGTTTTTCGACATGCTTTAGGTTTAGATTTTGTTGTGTCATTCACAATATTGTTTTGATATAAATTTCAGAAATTATTATGGATCGTACTTGGATGAAAGCTGATAGATTAGGTCCGATATATGAGAAAGGAGTTTTGGAATTCCTTAAATACGCTGATCAAAATCTTCCTGGAAATAATGGTATCTTTTATTGTTCTTGTGTTAATTGCGGGAATATAAAGAAAGGTACAGAGGATGAGATATTACATCACCTATGTTGTGATGGTGTATATCAAAATTATACAATATGCACGTGGCATGGTGAGGTGGAAAAAAATCAAAACCTTGCATCACAAAGTAACGAAGTTAATGAAGAAGAATATATGGATGACTGTCTAGAAGATATGTTCTGTGATATTGGAAAATCTTCTTTTAAGAAAGCCCATATTTATGATGATTTATGTAGTGATAAAGACACCCCTTTATATAAGGGGTGCACAAGTTTTACACGATTGTCTGCGGTTTTAAAATTGTTTAATCCAAAAGCAAATAATGGGTGGTCGGATAAAAGTTTCACAGAATTGCTTCATTTTCTAAAACAAATGATACTTGAAGATAACGATTTTCCTGATCGTTGTTATGATGCCAAGAAGATATTGTGTCCAATAGGTTTTAAGTATATCAAAATACATGCATGCCCTAATGACTGCATATTATACAAGAAAGAGTTTGAAAATTTTGATCAATGTCCAAAATATGGGGTGTCGCGTTACAAGCTGAAGGACAACAATGGTGATGACAATAACAATGGAAATGTTAGTAGGAAGAGGCCTCCTGCTAAAGTGCGATGGTACTTGCCAATAATTTCAAGATTCAAGAGACCTTTTGCTAATGCGGATGACGCAAAGAATATTAGATGGCATGCAAATGAAAGAAAATATGATGGAAACATATGCCATGTAGCTGATTCTTTGTAATGGAAAAAAATTGATTCTTTGTTTTCAGATTTTGGCAGCACTACAAAGACAACACTTTTCCCCAAAAGCGATGCTAAAAGTTTAAAAAAAATTTAAAAAAAAAACAAGGGAAAAAAGCGCTGCTAAAATATGCCTTTAAAATGCGCTTTTGAAAAGCACTGCTAAAGGTCATATGTAAGTAACCAATAGAAAGCGCTTTAAAAAAAGCGCTGCTATAGGGAGTGTCTAGGTCACACCTTAGACAATGCTTTTCAAAAGCGCTGCTAAAAGGCTAGCATATGGAAGTGTTTTTTAGGGGAAAGCGCTGCTATAGGGAGAAAAAGAAAGCGCTTTTAAAAAGCACTGCTATAGGTCAATTTTCTAAAATTAAAATAGAATTCATATTTCGCTTTTGCACGCATTCTGTTTCACTCTCTCACTCTCAGACGCGCCGTTCTGAATCCTACCAGACCTCCGACCGTCATTCTATTTCTTCATTTTCTTTATTTTCAAGGTTATTTGCATGGTATTTGTTTGTTTTTTTTATTTGTTTACATTGTGATGTTGTTGTTATTTGACTTCAATGGAAGTTTGAATGCCATTGTTGTAGTAAGGTTCAAGATGATGAATAGAGATATTTGTGGTGATTTTTTTTTGAGTTTTGGTGTTAATAATTTTATAAGTTAATGTTGAATGTTAGTGATGATGAATAGTGATGATTACTTTGTTTTGGTCGAATTTTTAATTGAAAATGATAATGAAATTAATTGTTAATGGTAAAGTTTGAAGATGGTGAATAGTGATGACATTGTGAATTTATCTTTTATAATTGGTGATGTTGTTGATTGAAACTTGAATGACATTCGTGAACAAATTGTTGAATATTGTGATGTTGATTGTTTGAACTTAAGTGATGAAGTTGTTATATTTGGTAATTTAAATGTGGATTTGATAATTTTGGTGATTGGTTTACGCTCGAATTGATGATTATTTGTGACTTACTTGAGTTAAAACATTAAGTGTGATTGGATTTGCACGTTTGCTATAATTTTTCGGTATTTATAGTTTCGTGAATAATTAGTGTTTTTGTTTAGCTTACTTAGTAAAAATCATGGATAAAAAACGGATGTCTTCCAATCCATTGTCAAAAGAGTACGAGGATGGGGTATCATAATTCGTTAAGTTTGTTATTGAGCACGCCAAAGGCCCCAGTCGGATCATGTGTCCTTGCTTAGGTTGTTGTTATGGGCGTTGGATTGACGCAGTTTAGTTAGAATCACATTTAAAGAGGCATGGAATTGATCGAAGTTATACATGTTGGATATTACATGGTGAGATAAGTAACGAGAATGTCGAACTGAGGGATAATAGGACCTATGCTTCAAATGACAATGGCACAGATACACACAATTGTGATTGAGTCGAAGATATTGCAGAAGCACTTGAAGAAGATCTTTAGGATTGTCCCAAAATGTTTGAGAGGTTGGTAAGTGATGCAAAGAAACCATTGTATAAAGGTTGCACTAAATTCACAAGATTGTCTGTGGTATTAAAGTTGTACAACTTAAAGGCGGACAATGGATGGTCGGATAAAAGTTTCACAGAGTTATTAGCCCTTATGAAAGAGATGCTTCTAGATGATAATGTGCTTCCCAATCGAACCTATGAGGCCAAAAAAATGTTGCACTCTATTGGCATGAGCTATGATAAGATACATGCTTGTCCAAATGATTGCATTTTGTTTCGAAATGAATATGCATCCTTGAATGAGTGCCCTAAATGCAGTGTCTCTCGATATAAGAAAAAATTGTCTCCAGCAAAAGTCTTATGGTATTTTCCTATAATTCCGAGATTTAGATGCATGTTTCATAGTAAAACCGATGCAAAACACTTAACTTGGCATGCAGATGAAAGAATTATAGATAGAAAGTTTCGACATTTGGCAGATTCACCACAGTGGATGAAAATTGACAATGATTATCCTAATTTTGGAGAAGAAGCAAGAAACCTTCGGTTGGCATTATCTATTGATGGAATGAACCCACATGGTTTGCAAAGTATCTCACATCCCACATGGGCTGTGATTATTATGATTTATAACCTACCTCCATGGCTATGTATGAAGCGTAAGTACATGATATTATCTATGTTAATTTCTGGGCCTAAACAACCAGGGAATGACATAGACATATACTTGGGACCTTTAATCAAAGACTTAAAGATTTTGTGGGAGAACGATGTGGAGGTTTATGATGGACACAGGAAAGAAAGTTTAAATTTGAGGGCGATATTGTTTGGCACAATTAATGATTTTCCAGCATACGGAAACCTATCAGAGTATAACATTAAAGGTCAATGTGTGTGTCCTATTTGTGAAGAAAACACATATTGGAATTTTGTCATAAGAATGTCATTCTAGGTCATTGTAGATTCTTAAATTCCAATCATCACTACCGTGGATGGAGAAAAGCATTCAATGAAAATCTAAAACAAGGTAGAGCTTCACTTACATTGATAGGTGACCAAATTTTTGAAAAGGTGAAAGATGTGAGTACTCAGTTTGGCAAGACTTTTACACATAGTATTGTCACACGTGGGTGGAAGAAGATGTCATTTTTTTTAAATTCCCATATTGGAAGTCGTTGTATGTAAGACATTTTCTTGATGTTATGCATATTGAAAAAAATGTATTTGAAAGTGTTATTGGTACGTTACTCAATATACAAAGAAAGTCTAAAGATGACCTTAAAGAAAGAAAGGACTTGATAGTGATGGGAATAAGAAATGAATTAGGACCTTTGAAGAAAGGAAAATGAGCATATCTACCACCTGCTGCTTATACTCTATCTAGAAAGGAGTAAAAGATATTGTGTAAGTTTTTAAATGAAGTTAAAGTTCCAAAAGAATACTCTTCAGATATTAGAAGACGTATGTCTATGAAAGACCTCAAGTTAAAGAGTTTAAAGACACATGATTTCCATGTTATAATGGAACATTTTCTACCAATAGGTATACGTTCTATTTTGCCTTGAAAAGGATCTTGCGAAGACTGAGCCTAAAAAAGTATCTATTCCTCGATTTAGGTTGTGCCTTGAAATATACGTAGGAATAATATATGTGATGGAAGGTGGTATTCGTTAAATACCTATGGAGGAAGGTATTTTTGGGTTTGCTTATACTGAAATAATGACTAAAGAGGATTTAGATTACATTTTTCAACATTTTGAATTAGGCATCGGTGTGATGTATTCATACATCAGGTACTCCAATCAGTTTTGTTTAAATAATTGAACAATTTATTTACTCATTTCAATGAGTATTCTAATGTTGATTATGTTTTTATTTAAGATTCTTGTATGATAAATTGATGCTCCCGCGTCAATTGACAGACAGATTCTCGTTCTTATCTGCCAATTTGTGTCAACGCATGGTTAATCGAACAAAGTCCAAATGCAGTCCAAAATTACTTAGTCGATGCATTTATGGCCAACATAGATACAACAAATTTGTATTTTTTGCCATATAATACTGACCATGGTTTAAAATTCATTATAATTTCATTTATTGTAATTATTTTTTTTTTCTGTTGTATAGAAAATTCTCATCTAAACTTTTGTATTATTTAGCAGTGGACACTGGTTGTTGGTTGCGATTAATCCGATAAGAGAAATAGTATATTATCTGGAATTGTTAGATGGTGCTCAAACAAAATACCCAGATATGAAGAAGATGGTTGATACGTAAGTGATGAGATTGTTCTGAAGATTCGTGTGTATATTTATTTATTATGTGAGATTGTTCTAAATATTCGTTTATATTATGTTAGATCGATACAAATATCCCGATCACAGAGGAAAGCTCGAGTATCGAAGAGTAAAGCAAACAACATTACATGGATCAGAGTGCAGGTATATTTTCACAATTTTGATTATAATAGTGATGCTACTTGATAAAACAAGTTAAACTATATATCTTGATATATATTTGTTTCTTTTGTTTTTCTATGTGTAGTGTCCTCGTTAGCGTAATGGTATAGATTGCGATTATTTCGTATTGAGGTTTATGAAGGAAACTCTTCATTTGGGTCAAATAGAGATTCTATACATGATATGGATTTATAAGTTAGGATTTATTTTAATATTTAGCGGATATATATTTCATCTAATATTAATTAGTTTTAACTAAATCATGCATATTATGTAGTACTTTGATGAATTCAAGTGTGCTACTTACTCGAAAGATAAATTGGAAGAAGTTAAGGAGGATTGGTGTCAATACATTCTTGAGACGAGAATTCTATAAGGTATATATTGTATTTCTTTATTTTGTGTGAAGTTTATGGTCTTTAGAGATTTTAGTTGTTGTGATATTCTGTACTACTTAATAGGAATAGTTCTAGAAGTTGTTGTATAATTTTGCAAGTTGTTGTATATATACTTCTAGAAGTCGTTGTGAATTGATGGAACTTGTAATTATGTATAATGAATATTTAGAAGTTAAAGATTTTGGAAGTGGATATGTTTTATTAAAATTATGGAGGTTTGTGTTAAATTATAATGGTTATGAGGTTTCTGTTGAATTAAATAGGTTTATGTGTTGAATTATAATGGTTATGAGATTTGTGTTGAATTAAGCAGGTTTATGTGTTGAATTATAATGGTATATATATATATATATATATATATATATATATATATATATATATATATATATATATATATATATATATATATATATATATATATATATATATATATATATATATATATATATATATATATATATATATATATATATATATATATATATATATATATATATATATATATATATATATATATATATATATATATATATATATATATATATATATATATATATATATATATATATATATATATATATATATATATATATATATATATATATATATATAAGGACTATGTGTTGAAATAACGTTGTGTTGAATTATTGGTTATAAGCATGTTTATATGTTAAATTATAATGGTATATAGCCTATG